ATTGCATGAGTAAACTGTAATTCTAGTATAACTGAATGAGGTACTCGTGGTAGTTTTGTTGCTGTTGGAAGTATAGTAAGTGCTGTATTATTGTTACAGTTCATTTATATACTCACGTAGCTGTCATTTTTTTTTATTTTTAACTGGACTTTGTAAAAATCTTGCTTCATTGTGCTGAGCTCCTTTGTCACATGGGTATCTTCCCCAACCGACTACACTGACCAGCACGGTGAGGTATGGCCGAGCAAACCGACGTTTCCACACGGACATTGTCTCAACCACAGCGCCCAGTCCACCTCAACTATAGCCCCACCAGCCACGGCATGGGCTGGATAGTTGCGATTCGTTGGGTAATTATAAACAACTCCGGGTTATCCTGTTGCTACGATTATTGCTGCATGCGGCACATGAACTCTGTCGGGGAAATAGAACGTTGTCAAATTGGGACATCCTGTTCACTTTTGAGGCCCTCGATGTGGAGACGAAGCCACTAGAATTGCTGCTGTTCTTGCATCATAACCAAAATCCGGGCTTTCCGTGGCTCTTTGGATGGTGGTTGTGCAGTCGATCCGAGTTTGCGGTTCACATGTCTAGGTTTTGGATAGGTTCACTTACCTCGGGAGCATTATCCGTAGCAACTGAGGTTTGGAATCAGAAGTCTCAAAACGAATGGGCCTGGCCCAGAGTAATGTATTCGCTTCCTCAATCAGTGCTTAGGCATTGCCGTTGTCTTAACAAAACGGACGAAGCTCCATGTTTTCCAAGCTTCTTTTGCTTCCAGTCTCCATCTATGGAGTGGAGACATGGATGCACAAGGGATAATTGCGAGGACGACTGAACCTACTGGTTATCAAGTCTCTTCACAGACTCTTGGGAGTACAAGTGGGATCACTTCCCCCCCCCACCCCCCCAGGTGTATAAGGCGAGGCCTGGTACGAGAACGCCAATCACGGCAGTTTTAGCGTGTGGCTCCTCTTCAATTGGTTGTCCGCACTCGCCGGGTTCTCTGGGGTACAGAACCTCGTGATTGGAGGCCTTTCCAGGAGCTCGTGTCAGATGGTTGATGCGGCTAGCACAGTCTCGGCGCATGCTCCCACACTTCACTTTGACAAACCCACACTCATTACGAGAAAATAGCTTGCTATGAATGAACCCCAATACCTTGCTGATCTCGTCAGGGAGCATGAACCATCATCACACGAACTCCGGTCATCCTCGCTGCGGCCGTCTGGAACGCTCTTCCTTCTGGTATTCGGAAGCCACTGCAGCGATGCACTTTTAAACCTAGATTGAAAACGAATTTCTTTAGAACTGCTTTTTGTGTTTATCCATACTAGTGTTTAGTTTATTATCCTTTCCTGCACCTCCAATTAGCACAGTTGGCTACATACGGTGTGAAAGAAGTTCAACATACATTCTGTGCTGGCATCCCCTAGCCACCTTGCAAGCCCACGTCTAGGAGTTTTACAGAGTCTCTGTGATCCACTAACCTTTGCCTCTGAAGTAATTGTTTACAGGTGTGCACCACGATACCCAGCTTTTTTTGGAGATCAGTGTGCCTTTAAGCGAGCAGCGATGCGAAACGTCAGTACTGACATAATTGAGGTGATGAGGTTGGAGCTTGTGCTTGGATTTTAATCCGACGTAACTTTCAGATTTCACACTCTTGCTCAGAGCGTGTGAAGTTAAGGATCCACTGAGGCGTATGACAGCAATCAGAATATATGAGTGCTTAAATAACACACACGTATGTTTGAACATCGTTTGAATATGTTTTTAATGATGAATGGCAGAATACGAAAAATAAAAATATATCAATTAATCTATCTGAATGGTCTACCTATATTATATACCGAGTGTTTATTTGGTGCAATTAGACTCTATATGTGTAAGCATTGTCAATTTAAATTGTAGCTATTATTCAGGATGCATTAATTATGGGTACATCTCTTTTCCACAGCAATGCAATGTGTTTATCCATTTCAATGATCACCATTGCACATTTGCATGCATATGATTACAATGAGTGATTTTAATGAAGCACAATATGCTGTCATGTGTTTTTTGATGTTGGATATTTTTCTTTCCAGTATCTAAACCATAAACATTTACACGTCTTCTCATGCACTGGCTATGGATAATTTAAAGATAGCATTACATCACAATGTGACGTCAATATAACATCAATAAAGAAATATATAAAATATACTTATGGTAACCTGCTGTCGTTTATGTACCAATGTACATTGACAATTGAACGATGTTTTTTTAATATGGAAGTTGTTTTAATATGGACGTTTTCATTTGTATTAAAAGTTCAACACACATTTGTCCCCCACCACCACCACCCCATATAAAAGACGTCAACCTACGAGTGACAATAAAGACATGTACTCTCAAGGCAGGGATACAAGTCCAGATATCGCTTTGATTGGCTTCACGGTTTACGCACTGCAATTTTTTGTAAAAGCTATACACTATGTTTTTAAACTCTCTCTAACACACTAGAGGTTACGTAATAAAATACAAACAGCAGAGACACGCACACTTTGTGCAGTTAATCTTGAAAGGGTAGTCGATGACATTGTAACGATTCTCCATTGGGCAGGGGGAAGATGCGTAGCAGTGTGTGGGAGTGCAGTTGAGTGAAGGTGAGGGCAGAGAAGCAGACCGAGTGTAGAGTTAAACCTGGGTTGGATTAGAAAAAGTAAGGGACATATGTTCACTTCATGAGCACCAACAACTTGTTCGCGGATCACCAATCGGACCCCCCAGTGAGTTCATTAAGAAGGCAAATACAGAAGCATGGAATAACGCGACATCTGTCTATTCCCGCCTTGCGCATATACAAATGAGAAATGTAAAATTGCTAATTAATGTTGCCGATGCAAACTTTATTTCATGTTGATGCCATGTGCAAGTGAATCTATGATGGCCTAGTGAAAGACACGGAACGGTGTTTCCACGCGCACGACTGCATTCAAATGACCATGTATGACCTCGCGTGATAACTGCGTAAAACGCACCATTGAGTTTGCTTAACATGGAGCTAACATTACAATACAAAAAACTACAAAAGTTGAAGCAAGTGTAAAAAATAAGCTATGTATCTCGGCTCAAAGATACCTTGGATGGATAATTTGTATGTTACGCTAGTGAAAGGAATTCTACATTCCTATGGCAGGTATCAGTTGAACTCGAGGCTCGCTATAGGACACCCACTGTTGATTTACAACTGAGAGGTGAAGCTTCGGCTAGTGGGTGCTCAAAGTACTGACCTATGCAGCATGAAGGTATGAGTTCGCCCTGCCTGGGATTTAATTTCCCCATCTCGTGATTGGGAGGCCTACACATGAGCTTGTACTATGGAACAAAAAATGTTGACGATTACGAAAACAATAAAAGCAATGGCTTTCATATGATTCTTCCAAATCATTCTTCTCAACGCAAATCACCACATCACAATAAACAGTAAACAAACACACAGGAATCGCTGGGCAGCAATCTTCCTACACATATCGCAGTTTTCACTCAGGCGTGAGAATCCACGCCACGCCGAATCCCATTCAGTTTGGCCACAACGCCAAACCACACTCACTGCGAGCCTCAACTCCACCCGGGGCACCTTTCGCCAATCCCTGCAGAACTTGCCTCGGCTCACCTCCACCACGTGTCCCATCAACGCAAGTTAATTAACATATCCAGAACCACTCCGGTTGTGCTGGAAATGTGGGCGATCACCTCCTGTTTGTGAGAGAGGTACGGCCAACAAGACGCAGTCTCCTGCTGCAGCGTTTTCATTTGAAGGCAAGGTCTACTCGTAATGTCCCATTCCCTCGCATGCGTAGAGGTAAAATGACGAAGACGGGAGAATGTTGCAATTTAATTTGACACTTCATGGCGAAATGTGCTTATCCAAATGCAACTGAGTGTTGCAAGAGCAGCAGTGGTGCGTCCAGTTTTGTTGGATCTCAGAGTTATTTAAGAGAGACATTGTGCTAACTGGAGCACCTTCTAACTGGAGCACCTGTAATAGAAAGCAGTGCTTACCGTGTGTACTCAATGGACTCTTTGAAGCTTGCTTAACAACTTACAATGGGTCAGAGATTCTGTATTTATGATTGAGTCTGCAGGGAATTCTCAGTAGTTTGTGTGCACCATAAAAGCGGTGTTCCTTTTATATTAAATAGCATGCATTCATTTCCAATCAATAAAGTAATGTTTTTACTTGAGAAAGTGCTTCATTCTATATTTTATACGCACGAGATTTTATTGACTCATATAAAACTGCGTGTTGGAAGAGAGGAGTTTAGGCTTCATTTCAGTGAGATTTAATTAACCATATCTACAATTGTGCTTTGCAGAATGTCCTTTTTACATTGCAATCAATGTGCAATGTAAACATTGTAATTCACATTGTATAAAATGACTTCTTTGAATGATTTCAATGATTTAAAATTGAGTGTTTATTTGTCTCTCAAAGAGAAAATAATAAACTTGATTTTGATTTTTTATCTTGAATAAAGTTTTTATCTAACTTTCCATGAATGCAATGCAGTATTTTGGGCCACTGTGTTGTCTTGGTAAGTTCTCAAAACAATGCTTTATTATTGTAAACAGCCTCTATTTAGAGTGTAAATATTGAAATGTGATTTTTAGAGTTTCAAAGAGAGGCATTTTCCATGGGACCCTTAAAGGCCATGATCTACCAGGTTAAAGTGTAAAAAATACATGAATTATATATTTGAAATCCTCTCAAATAGTGCCATGAATACAGGCGGCGTTAATGTGTTTAAACACCAAATACACACACATTACAAGGCAGCAGCTCTGAATTAACCACACACACGCGTGGTAAAACATGAAAACACATTTGCTTTGAATTTTGATTTAAAGCTTTCGTGACTGCAGTAATTCATATTCTTAGTTCTTTCGGTAAAGTCACGTTGAAGGGAAACAATAAAATAATAAAATATATAAACCGACACACCTGATGACGACCGTTTGTGTTATGGTCGAAACGTCGTGAGAATTTTTATTGTTTTATATATATTTTATTATTTTATTGTTTCTCTTCAACGTGACTTTACCGAAAGAACTAAGAATATATTTGCTTTGATAATGTAAGTATAATCCTTGACACTAATTGGCCTACACTAGAGACAGCCTCTGTTATGGCTTTGTCCCACTAGTGCTATAGGTTAATGCAGATTTGATGCCTTATGATAGGTGTCTAATTGTAGTTTGAACATCTTAACACCTCGTTATTTATGTCATAAAGGGTAAAGACTTTTTTTTATTATTATTCAATATGTTGATACTGAAAATGAGTCCCAAATATTATTTATTATTTCAATATTGAATGCATTCTTTAGCTTTTAATATTATGACTGAATTGTTTGTATACATTTGTGGCTCTGGCTGGCTGCAGTGCTGCTCTGCATCCCTGATGGAGCCTTCTCTCCCGCAAGGTTCTTGGTTGTTTTTAATGAGCAAAGCAGTGGCGGAAATGTGTCGCACGTGGTCAAGTCTGCACGCCAGCTCTTGTGCAGCCAGTTGTAACGCAGCTGAAACACCTGTACATTTTAAATGACAGATGTATTCTTTGTTCTCGTATCGATTGTGCCCACATTGTGGATCAGGTGCACTGCCTGTCCGAGCGCTGGCGTGGACTGCGAGGCAGTCAATGTAATGGATGTTGGCCGTTTTCGTTTGCCGAAAATCTTCCACTCACGTAAAAAAATATATCAAAATGTGTGCCAAGATAAAGTTATTCGAATATAGAATGCTATGATTGTCTAGTGTTCTTACAGGCCTTTAAGTGAAAAGTCACGCTGCATTATTGTATTACACATAAATGATGTTAAATATACATAGCTATTTTATTTTATATAATATATTTGCATCTAGGAGTATTTTAAAGGATCTAAAAGGCCACTTTCTTTCGTTTACATGTTGAGTAATATACTTTTTTAAAAAAATTACTCAATCTTAGATGGAGTTAACATTTTACGTCTGGAAATGTATTAAAACGCATGTCGATTATGTAAGTTAATATAGCGATAGAAAAAATTGAGGCTCACGCTCCTCAATTAACAATAGAATGTTGCAGGGTATGTGACCGATGTCATGATGAGAGCAACACTGGCAAACAAAGTGAGTGACCATTGCGTTCATTTTAAAGGCCACTTTAAATGGTATCCAGTGGAATCACGTGTGCAGAGAAGCGTGTCCCTCGTTTACAGCCCTGAGCCAGTGGTGTTAATTTCACATTCCCATGTCAGGGGTGAGTGAAACCATGAAACAATCACTGCCGACTTCCCTCAACTGGACTCTTTTATGAACCCAGAGTGTTGAAGGGCTGAGCTGATCTACAAATGGGATTTTAACCTGCAGCCTCTGACTGTGTCAGCTATGCACTCTGACCCCGCATGCTACCGGCAAAATAATGTGTTAGCCTCCACGTAATTTCTGATATAATATTGATGGTGATATTTAAAAAATAGCATCTTCAATAAATGCATAAGGGATAAATGCATATTTCTAAATTCACATTTTCTAAAACTTGGCACTGGCCTTTGTGCTTCAGTAAAGCAATTGTGCATAATCGATAATAACAATAATACATTATTACATTTTATACAGCAACATTACCGACGTGTTAATAGTTATTACCCCCATAGCGTCAATGTAGATAAACGTCCCTTGAGCCAATTTGTAGCAAAAGATAATAAAATCAAAGTATCAAATAGAAATATTAACTTTTACATTGCAGGCAATGCAATTGTGCTGAAGGTTCTAAAAGCTGTGTGAAATGTTTATAGATTTGATATATTATTGTATTTATATGTTTCAGACTAGTGTATATATATATTATTCTCTAACCACTTTACTTTGTGTTTTTTGACATATCATTGTAATTACATGATTCTTCATTAGGACTTTTTCGAGAGATTTACATGTTCAGTACAAGCTTTACGTATGAACATTGCGTAACATTTACAAAGGACGTATGAAGATATATTTATATAAAATGCGATATCTGTACGTTTGGTCTAATATGTGATTAGAAATAAAACCATATGTGTCCAATATGAAGTGATGCAGTCACACAGCATGATAAAGAATCCACAACGACAGTTTTAAACGAGGGTTACACATTTGAAGGGAGTATTTTGACTGATAAAGATGTTTGACAATGTGCCAGAGCGTTCATCGACACATTCCCTTTATTACATTGAACACCTTAGTGACGGTGTATGTTATCTAAGCTTTGCTAATATTTCACTCTCGATACATATGGTTCCAGACGAATGCGTATTGGGGCTTCGTTAGGATATGTAAATATGGATTGATATTTACCCATGAAAGCATGGTCACGTGTACTCGGCAGTCGCCAATGATTATAAAACGCACATCGTGCCGCTTGTTTGAACCGCTCTCCTTGGCAACTCGCATCGGGGACGGCGGGTGGCGGGTCTGTAGTTCAGTACATCATTGCACGGAAGTAAACCTTGGCGGCAGGTCAAAATGAATCCGTTTCAACCTGCCCTTTGTTCCTCGACGAATCCGAGTGGATCTCCTTTTTGTTTTCAGCCGAATTGCGTTGGACTTGCGTTTTATTCCCCGCCGCGGCAGATTTGCTCTTCAGGTCTTCGTTGGATTCATTGGACGCGTCCTTCAAGAAGAAACATTGCCACGGCGTGCACACCACGAGCAAGATCCGCTTGTACTCGCGCCTGAAGTTGTGGTTGAGCAGTCCGTAAACGACGGCGTTGAGGCAACTGTTGAAGTAAGCCAGGAAGTAGCTCGCCACAAACAGCCACCCGGGGACCTGCATCGGTGCGGACCTGAAGGACGACAGCGTCACGACCAGCCCGATGACGTTGAGGGGCCCCCAGCAGACGGCGAAAAGAACGAACACCACGAACATGGTGAGGAAGTTGCGGTAGTCGGCCACGGTCAGTCCGAGGCGCGCGTCATTCCTCGCGCGTCTGCGGACCTGCACCCACGCAGACGGTCATCGCATCAATGTCACTGCCGTCGTTAAAACGAGCCAGGCAAAGCTGTCGGCAGGCTATCGTTATGACTCGCATTCCGCAGAGCCCACAAAGGAAATGCTGGCCTCACTGTTTGTGGGTACACTGTCGCCAATATTTTAGGGAATGTGTGAGTCTACAACCGAAAGTAGTTCAGAGTCAAACTTTGATCACCTACTTTATAGAATAATACTTCAACTACCATGGCATGGGTGCATTTGTAAGTTTTTGTGTACTCTCGGCATCATGTCATGTATGTATGTTGAACTTCTTTCACACCGTATGTAGCCAACCGTGCTAACTGGAGGTGTGGGATAATGACAACAAACTAAACACAAAAAGCAGTTCTAAAAGTAATGAGTTTTCAATCTACATGATTTAAAAGTGCATAGCTCCCAGTGACTTCATAATATCAGAAGAGCGTTCCAGACGGCCGCAAAAGCGCATCTGAAAGCGCGCGATACTGCCACTCTACGTATTGGAGAGCCTTTGAAACAGTGTGGGGTGGGTGTCTGGTGTCTTGTAGAAGGTGTCTGTGGGTTAGTATGAAACAGGTTTGTATAAAAGTAAACAAAGAGAGAGAGGTAATACATGCAGCTATGTTTACATTCGTGCAAAGCCAGTTTATATTTATAAAGGTGAATACAAGGGCGCATGTGTGTGTGTGTCAGTCAAATTGCAAACTTTAAGCATGATAAAACAGTGTACAGACCATTATAGCAATTATTTTAGTGGCTGCTTTCATCTTTCATGAATCTTTTTTCAAAATTTCAGATTCTAAATGTTGTATATGCCCCCTTTTCCATCTTAATATTAACAAGTAATTTTTCAATACATATAGATACATATTTCTATTGTTTCTTTTAATTTTAATAATGAATAAAAACACCAAACCAGGCCTCAGCATGGCATGTGGAGGTCATATTTACCTTGACCCACTAACACGATTTTGACATTCAGAGCCCTCCCAGGGTCAGAGGGAGCAGATAGAGAGCAGGGCGCAGCGGATTGAAAGGGGCTGACGTAAACACAAAGCCAGGGTCACTGGGAGGTTGCGTTAGCCTAGATCTGGTAAGTCAAAAAAGCTAATTGGTTCTGCATTACTATTAAAGTAACTTAAAATCGGAATTTAACGACAGGGTAGGCTAAAGTTATTGATCTTCACACCCACTTCAATTGAACCCTGCCACAAGCTACGTCAATGTAACCATCACCCGTCTATTAATTTAATATGAAAAGTATTTACATATTTTAATAATTTCTATACGACTTGACCCGAAGCCTAAGAATCAGGTTTTCCTAAGTCAACATGAATGCTCTAATCCACCCATATGCAAATAATAAGCCGGGTTAAAGTAAGAGTAGAGAGGAAAAGAAATGCAAGCGCACAGCAAAACTGCAATGTAAGCAAAGGGCGATGTTAAACCCAGGGTCGGAGAGAAAGGGAGATCCCGGCCGTCTTTGTATCCCCGCAGCGCGGGGTAGGAGTGTGTATACGCTTGGGGAAACACGAGTCAAAGACCACAACGGGAAGCTGACCCAGACCTTGGATTAATACAGAATCATAACTGTGGAACTCTGATGAAATGAAATGTTAACTTAAAACTTTTTAACAATTTCTTTGTGCATCGGTGAAAGTCGGAGGGAATATCACCCCTCCCTCCAGGTTGTGCACCCAGACAGAGAGGCGCCTTCAAGACAATTTATAACATTTGATTGTTTTACTTGTGAGTTTTATGGTAGGAGTATGACAACGGAATATACCGTGGGTGATCCACACAAGGACACACACTGACACATGTACGGACACACACACGGACGCAGATACATACGGACAAATCCTGACACAGCAAAAATCGAAAGAAACCCCGCCTTGTGAGCAGGATCCGAGTGAAGGGATTTTTGGGCATAAAAAGAGGATCCTGAGCATTGAAACCTCAGTTCGACAGGAGGGGGTCGGCTCACCAGAGTTCGACCGGGGAGGGGTCGGCTCACCAGAGTTCGACCGGAGGGGGTCGGCTCACCAGAGTTCGACCGGGGGGGGGTCGGCTCACCAGAGTTCGACTGGAGGGGGTCGGCTCACCAGAGTTCGACCGGGGGGTCGACTCTCGGGAGACAGTTCGACTCGGAGGAGGTCGGAACTCGGGGAGTTCGACCAGGGGGTCGGAACTCGGGAAGTTCGACCAGGGGGGTTGGAACTTGGGGGAGTTCGGCCAGTCGGCTCGACTCATCAGTAGTTCAAACTGGGAACGAGAGCAACAGGTCGCCAGCCGGTGAGCTGCAGAGCTGGGGGCGGCGAGCAGAGGCCAAAGTGGCCCCGTCGCTACCCACTGACGTTGGCAAGACTCGCAGGGTAGTGAGGCGTCACCTAGTGCGATTTCCAAGAGCTGAAAGACAGAGTATTGCTGGAAGATTATTCTACATTGAGTCCAGCTGCAGAGCGACTGACGCACCAAGCAAGAGCTTCTGCAAACCAGAGCAAGAGCACGTGCGACTTGAGGCATCCAGCAGTGGAGAAAAACCTGCTTTCAGCAAACCAGCAACGAGTACGTTCGAGTTCTCCACACAGAGAGAGGGAGCGTGCTGATGCAGCTCATCCAGCAGCGGAGAGAAACTGCTGTCAGCGAACCAGCACGAGCGTGATCGCGCAGCTCATCCAGCAGTGGAGAGAGGTGGCCACTGAGCAGCACTGAGAGCGATCAAGCAACTCTCCCCGGTGGACAGAGGCTGGCTGCCGCGTAGAGGAGGGCGCCGATACGTATGATGCACTCCCACGCACCTCACCGCTCTAAAGGGAGCGAGTCTATTTCTCCTACAAGCGATGCCAACTTCGGCGTATGTTAATGCAAATAATTAATTCCAAACACTTGACTATTCAAGACAATTCATATCACTCAAACATACACGGGTCCTTAACCAGAAGCGAACACTCAAGTCCGTGAGCCATCTGGCCGTGGAAGCATCGATCGTGTGATAACAGTCCGTCGTTTATAAGTATATTCGTAATTTTCCTCTTTGATATTTTGTTTTGGACTGTACTTCTAATCGCACAAGTTACCAACCGATCCATCAGTACGAATTTACCCTTGGCACCTTCGCCACGGAGCTACGCTCCCGGGAAGGAATCGTGCTAAACCGATTTTCTGATCATACAATCTTATTCACGAGTTAATTAATCTCCCGTGAGAGAACACGTTCCGCCGCACACCCTCACACATAAGCCATTTTGGTAGTCTTATAGTCTGTCCAGTGGATCTGTTGTTACATTTATGCCTTTGGAAATAATAACTGTTTGATTGTCTTTTTATATGAATACCGTTGCAGGTTAATCAATCGCCTGTGATAATGTGCTGACCATTTCAAGCATAATGATCGTTCATATTATAATGTATAAGCTTTTGTGTAGCATAGCATTGGCATGTTCTGACTCTCTCTCTCACTAACAGCAATCGCGTTGTGCGGGGTCCATGTGTTATCAAAGTGAAAACGTACAGTCGTTGATGATACTATCTTGATACCGTGTGGATACCGTGTTGAAGTTCCGAGATTGAGAGTTCACATACATATTATAGTTAAGGTTTAATTAGAAAATAAATTGATTAATACAGAAGTGGTCGTGGGATTCTTTCCTGAAATTTTTGCATAAGACCTGTATCCTGCGATGAGATATGAACTCGGGAACCTAAACTATAAACACACCAATCCACACTCATTAAACTAAAGTGAATGATCTGAACTTGGGACCTAAAATATGAACACTTGGGGAGTGTTAAAGCGAGAATCATTGTATTAGGCTGATCAATGATACGAAGTTAGACAACGAGGCCGAATTGACACTAGCGTAACTGCACACGATTGATTGCGTTATCCTGATTGATAACCCCACCTCGTCAACGAGGCGGGGCCTGATTATCATAAAGGCTATCATTAACACAACCACACCCACTCGTATGAATTAATACGATTACCTCTCTAATTAGCATAGTTATATGCATAATTACACGAATTAACATATTTTCGTATTAATTATGCACATTTCGAATTTCATTTAATTTTCATTATTTTTCATCAATTTTCACACACCCACATATACAACAAATTGGGGGCTCGTCCGGGATCTCTCGCAGACAGTTTATGCTTAAATTAAGGAACGAATCACTGTTGTATTAATCAAGGTATTGTGAACTAACATTGCCCTGTGACTGTAAATGGTGTAAAACAAACAAAAAAACGCACTCTGAAGGAAAATACCAGAGTAGCAGTGGATAACAAAGACAGTGGGGGTAAGATTATTTGCTCGAGTTGAACCAACACATCCTGTGATATAAATGTTTTTATATGTGCTCTGAAATGGAATTCCAGAGTAACTCACGCCGCACATGAGATGTTTGAATTAAGATACACTCTTAAGTCTATTAACTACACTACATAATAGAGAACGGCATGACCCGCAACATTCTGAGTTTGACACCCCAACGCATAACACCGATATAGAGGGGACCTCCTAGGAGGAGATGGAATCTATGGAAAAACAATATCGTGAATTTGTGTTAAAACGTACTGGACGGACTGCTAGACAGCAGACAGAGTAGAGAGACGTATGGGAGGGGAGACATATAGAAGATGTTAAGGCACATAGGAGGAAACTACTTAAGGACGTGATGACATGTAACAAAGCTGAACGTGATGTAAAAATTGCAGAAATAGTAAGGTTAGACTCATATCTCCTCACACAGACAGACAGAGAAAGATTATCGAATGAGGTAAAATTTGAAAGGGAAAGAAAGGAGAAACTGTCCCTAATAGAGGAGATAGAGCATCTGTACACCCTCGTGAGAGAGAAAGAGTCAGCACTAACTGCACCAGCGAAACCCCCAGATGTTGATACACATAACACATACGGGAGTAACAGTTTACCACACTCCGAGCCACGCGGACGTAAACCAGAGACAGGTCACACAGG